GGTTGGGTTGATTTACAGTATCAACTTGAGCTGCTTTGGAATTAAGCTACAAGGATTCTTCGCAATTGAAATTTATCCGGAATATTGCAAATCATGTTGTCTAATCGTCCCAATAAATGGTGCAGTAACCTCTTGGTCTTTGAAAAGGCTTACTTGAGTCCGAGAAGGCATCAATCACAATTACCAAGTTATCCAATGACTTTGTTACTGCCGCAACATCCTGTTGAAAAGAGTAGGGGTAAGGTGGATAGTGCAGACTTTCACCAGTTCGTTCCATCTGTTTGGCCAATGTCAAACGTGCTCTCATTCCATCCACATTACCAGTGGCTATGCCTCTCCAGGTAAGTTCATAAATTAACTCCGCCTTACCAAGACGATTAATCTCCACTCGTCGAGACATCTTGCCTTGTAATAAGAACTCACTAAATCGTTATGCCGAAACCAATTATCACCCTCTAGTAGTATATGTATATCACCAAGCTACACTAACACTGCACACACTAAATGAACAATATCACTTTATATGCTTCACAAGCTACACAAATTCTATAAGTCAGTCTGTATACAGAGAAATATCTAAATTGGGAAAACACTGATAGGAGCTGAGCCCAAAAAAAAACAACCTGGATCCAAGAACCAGTGTCCAGCAGAAATCACAAATAACTCAACAAGCCAATAACCTGCGTGCTATTTATAGGGCAATTCGTTAGCATCCAATTCGACAATAATAAAAACCTTTCGGCGATCACTAACGGAAACTGCACCCTTAAGGCCAGATTTCCTCGAACATTCGGTCGCGGAGAGACGATTTTATCCAACCAGAGCTTTTCTAATAAGTGTGGTTTCCGTGAATCCGCTTACCTGAGCGGGTCCGCTCCGCTCTGCAAGCCTGTGGCCGTTCAGGTAAGCGGATTCGAGGAAACCAGACTATTTGAAATGCTCTTGTTGGATAAAATCGTCAAATCGCGACGGTCGACGAACTGTCCGCTCTCCGCGACCGAATGTTCGAGGGAACCAGGCCTTTAGGAAAACGGCCCCACGTTGGGCGCCAAAATGCAACGCTCAAAAACAATGCTTAATGCAAAGCTCAATTCCTAAAATCTAGAGGTAGGTTTGAGCGCCACGTGATTATCAAATAGCACTACAGTATACCCAGTGAAATGATGAACATAGTGTGTCTATAGTATTGTCAAATTAAGTGTATTTCACGTTCATACTGTGTTATTATTATTGTTGTTCTACATATCACTATTATCACTGATTAAATATAAAAAAAACACAGATTGGTATATAAGGAATCCGCTCTTCATTTTTCTTTTGTCTTCAACATAAGCTTCACAACTATTATATTTGGCAGATTTGGAATCAACTAGGCCTAAGGTTTAAGGCAAATTTGTAACGTTACAAAGTATCATTCCTATGAGTTGAAAATGAAAAATTTACTTCATAGGGAGTAAATTTAAAGTTGTTACAGATTGAAATTCACTCCGCCACACAATGAAAAGCTATTCAGTCCCACGCATTGCCAGATGGTGGCTTTCCATGCCAAAATGGCGCATGTGGATGCTTTGAGCAGAGGTCCAATCCAAAACATTGACGTTATGAATGTTAATATATCCGAGGAGGATTGGGTATTGTCTGCACAACTCCAAGATGAACATTGTCGCTACCTAATAGAGGCGCTATCCCAAAAACCGTCAGCGTCAGATGATAGTGAGACCAAAGGCATCCGTACGAATTATTGCCTACAAGATAACCGCTTATACAGAATTACAAATAGTGGACGGAAACTACCCAAATCATTAAGGCGAACTATCGCTACATATTACCATGATGGAGCTGGTCACTTTGCAATAGACAAAACGTTGGAAGCTATGAGTGCACGTCATTGGTTTCCATAAATGAGAAATTATATGAAAAACTATATACGATACTGTTTAGGGTGTCTATATAATAAAAGGTCATCCGGCAAACAGCCTGCTGGAAGTCTAAATCCAATCGAAAAATTAATTGTGCCCATGGACACACTACACATCGATCAAGTTGGAACGTTTGTTACGAGCGTTAGGAAAAATGCATATTTGATAGTTGTGGTGAATGCATTCACCAAATTCGTATTCCTGAAAGCAGTAGCAAGTACAAAAACATTACCAGTGTTACGTTTCCTGGAATACATCATTGACATGTTTGGAGTGTGCAACAGCGTTTACAAGCAAAAGTTTTACGGACTTTTGTCATTCGTTAGGTATTAAATGTGGTGTGCGACCGCTACACCTAGAGCTAATGGACAAGTGGAGAGGATGATTCGCTCAATTCTGTCGGCCCCATTCGCTTCTATCGAAGATGAGTCCCGATGGGACGACGTCATAAGTAAAGTTAGCTGGGGAATTAATTCAACGGTTAATTCCACAATTGGAGAATCGCCTTACGAGATTTTCTTTGGTTACCGCCCACGTTGCTTCAGAGGTCGCATGGGAAGAACGGCAGGACCTTGATGCAATGCGTAAAGAGGTGGTTGAGGTTACTCGAAAACGGCAAAAGATGCAGAAAGAGTATTACGATAAGAGGCATGCCCCAGTTAAGAAATACGTAGTTGGCCAATAAGTGTTGGTTCAGGGCGAGAATAAAGTGTGGTAACGTTACCGCGGTAATGGTAATTTTGGTAAGGCAATTTTGGTAATTTAACCCGACAAATTTCTTTACCGGTAATTTTCAGAAATGTTCCTGAATGAAATCACATTCAGGCGACAATCCTTTCCATGCATTATTCGCCTTCTTGTTGTGAACCTGAACACAAAAATCCTACAAAAGCATAACTCTCGCAAAAACCCAAAAACCCAATAGAAATTTTCAAAAACCCGGGTTTTTACCAACCCTGGGCGCTTAAAGTAATTAATTTTCTTGACAGAGTTACCTCTTATGCTATACTTATTCAGCTCATTTTATTTATTTGTTTTCTTTTTGCCCTTTAAAAGTAGGTATTTACCTTTCCTTGAACGTATAGTATATACGTAGACATAATTATTTGTTTCATGAAATATTTCCCAAATTACCAAAATAACCGAAAAATTACCGGTAAATTACCACTGAGAAAGAAGAGATGAAACTTACGGGTAAACTTCAATCTCTATCAGGCAAGTAAGATCTTTAATGAGAGAAGGAGTAGAAAGCTTTAACCCGGTCCTTCTGTTGTGTCAAAGATACTTGACAATGACAGATATGTAGTTGACGAATTGCAAGGGTCGAAACGCTGTAGGAAGGCTTATACAGGCATTTGTCCTTCAGACAGAATGAAACTTTATGTTACGACAGTTACTGATGATGACATTTGTGACGATAACCCAGTGGACGAATAATGTGTTGTTGGTCAACACGACAAAAACACGCTCTTGAGTGTTTTCTTATCGTCTATTACTATAATAATAATTCTGGTAAATAATAGATATTTACGATACAAGTGAGTTAACAGCATTAACTCACGTGTATTGTACAATATTTTATCTACGCCATAGGCTCTTAACTTTAAAAACACAAAAAAAATTAATTTCAATAATAATTGTATTACCTATTCTAAAAACCAGCTACCTGAATCACCTCAATACCTTTTGTTCAAATAACAATATAAACTTGACCAAATTACCATGAAAACACGATAACACCATGCATGGTTTCATATCATTTTGATAGTAAATGATATTGATGTCACTATAGTTTCAAAAACCTAAGAAAGAATGTGGTAATGAAAATGCGTGAGTTAAGAAGCTCTTAACTCACTCGAAATGCACGAGTTAAGAGCTTCTTAACTCACTGGGTGCGGTAATGAAAATGCGTGAGTTAAGAAGCTCTTAACTCACTCGAAATGCGTGAGTTAAGAGCTTTTTAACTCACTGGCGTAGATGAACTATATTTCTTGTCTTGAATAAACTGTCATTTATTTACAAAAAGATCGAAATCTGTATCAGGTTTATTTAGTTTTATCAACAGTTTTATTAAAAAAGGGTGGAAACTTAGACCATAGAAAAGCAAATAGTTTATTTTGCATTATTAGATTTTTCAACTCTTATATTTATTCGTTTGTTGTGTAATTCCTAAACTAATCATCCATGTAACAAGTAAACAACCCAAACAAGGAAATTATCCGTCGAGATGATGAAAATATCAGATTCAAAAATGAAAGATACAGATCAACTAACCGCATTATGAAATAGAACATCAATAACATGTCAACGTACAACAATAAAATAATGTATCTTATTTTTGAGAAGATATGAAGTTTGCCAAAAACATGGTTGGTTACTTATATAGTTACATAATCGTAGAATAGATTATTTATGTGACGGTTTTGAACTTTCGGGTCAATGCGTGAGAATTGAGCTATAATAAATTTGCTTTGATGACTAAGCAAGGATCTAGTTTTGCTTGAGAAAATGTAATATTTTTTTCAAATTATATAAGAATTTGTTAGATTGTCGATTCTGTACAGTAGGTAATTTCATCAATCAACTATCTTTCGCCCTGCACATGAAAATCTACCTCATTCTACAATTATATGATATAGCCTACGAACTATTGTAATCCTTCAAGAGATTTTTTTAAAATGAAAACATGCTCTCTCAAAAATGTATATTGATTTTCTTTTTTTGTATCTTGTATACTTACTTATGTATTTTCATTCTAGTAGGTTTCCAAGTCTGTGCGTCTTATGACTTTTTTGCAGTACTCTTACATCAGGTGGGTAACTTAAAAAATCGTATAACAAATTATTATTTATTGTTTCTTATTATTAGGTAGGTACTTTTATATTGATGCTAACGACTTAATTTATTATGATGTCAAATTTAATTGCATTACCTTATGAGGTTCGAAATTTGTTAAGTCAGATAAAAACTAGTTCTCTCTCCTACCAATACAAAATGCAAACCATCCCTAAAACTTTTTATTACGCTTATTACACATTATTGTAACAAAAGATGTCTCCTTCTCTATGGGTTCATCTCCCACTTGAAAGCACCGTATAAAAGTACCGGGTATTTTAATGTTACCATCCTTATATGCAGTGGCCAGTATTGGACTTGAGGGGGTTTTTGAATAACTTCACTTGGTGTTTTTTTTTTTTTTGTGATTTTGTTTATTGTGACCTACCTATATTTTTGGATTTTTTTGAAAAATATATTTTCGGATAATGACAATTCGGGTATGTATTGCTATTTTAAGTAAAAACTTCACTTAATTTTAACTTGGGTAAAATGTGTTTTATCGCAGATTCAATTTTGGTTTATGAAAAAAATAGTATTGAACACCTAATACATATTATTAGATTTTAAAGAATCTATTTGCTACCAATACCATCGTCTGGTGTAGCAGAAATCGTCCTTGAATGATACATCACTTCTAAAAAAAATATTAAATGCCTAAAAGACCTTAAAATTAACTTGAAACAATTAAGCTGATTTTAAAGAAACAGAAAATATGTTAGATGAAGAACAAAACTAAATGAAAAAGCTAAAACAGCTTCAAATACACTGGAAGCAAGTAATTTTTATTTGAAAAAATTGTTAAAATTGGAAAATCTTGATATAAAAAAACTCAAAATGCATCAACCAAATTTTTATCTAACAAAAAAATTAAAAAGTCGCATTTTTGATAGTCAAAATCGCATAAAAACAAATTAAACTGTGGGGCACTTAAATCAACTCTAAGTTAAATTGTCTATAACAGCCTTAGTGAATTCCTTAGTACCACTTTGCCCTCCCATATCTCTAGTCAGCACTTTACCATCCTTAATCGTCCTTTCCACAGCCTTTCTAACCATTTCGCCATATTCAGGCAAATTTACATGCCTCAGCAACTTACTGGCACACAACAGCATCGCAGTCGGGTTTGCTATATTTTTCCCAGCGGCTCTCTCAAAAGCATGCTTGGCACCAGGCTCGAAAACAACACAATCCGAAGAATACGTAGATCCGGATACAATTCCAGCACCTCCGACTAAGCCTGTGGCTAAATTATCTATGATGTTTCCATAAAGGTTTGGGGTTACAAGAACGTCAAATAGTTGGGGCTTCGATACCATTAGCATGGTGCAACTGTCCACAATCATCGATTCAAATTTAATATCCGGATACAATGAGGCAATTGCCTCGCAGCTTCTTAAAAACAAACCATCTCCTAATTTCATTATGTTTGCCTTATGGATGCAAGTCACCGTTTTTCTGTGGTTTCGCGAAGCATAGTCGAAGGCGAAATGGGCTATTCGCCTGGATTTTTTAGCTGTAACGATTTTTAGACACTCAACTACCCCTTTAACGGCTTCATGCTCAATCGCCGAATATTCGCCTTCGGTTTGTTCCCTTATAATCACCAAATCGATATTTTTATGCCTACTTTTAACACCACCTAAAGATTTTGCATGAACCACATTGGCATATAAATCCAGTCTTTTGCGTAGCTTTGCATTAAAAGTTTCTAAATCACCTTTGTCCGAATGATCGGGGATGATTAAACTGCCTTTAAGGGCCACCCGGTTTTTCACAATCGACTTGACTACTTCTTCCAGAGATTCGCTGTGATTAACTTCAGAAAATAAGTGTGTTTCCCATTCGACTGGCACTTGAGCTGCTTTGAAGACTTCTTGCACCGAATGGATGAGTTCTGGACTAACCCCATCGCCTGGTATAAGGGTTGCTGTTACTTTATTGTGAATTTTGCTTGTATTGGCAATTTGAATGTTTTGTAGATGGATTTTTGAGAATATTTTGGTTATAATACCAGACATATTTTAAGATAGAATTAAGCAATCTGGGGAGTTTTAAAAGGACACCACAAAAAAGACACTGTCAAAATGACTTTTTAGGACATTTTTAATCGAGTTACTCGCCATGAAGGGTAGAAAGGGGCGATAAGCTCTGCATTTTTTTCAATTTTTATCAATTTGGTGCGACTTCAATTAGAATTTGGAGTAATTTTGGTGGATATTTTGATTTTTTCCAGATACAATAGTCTATACATGATGAATATCATTATTTTTCTTCAAAGTTGTTGAGAAATCCACTCTAAAGGACCCCATTCACGTTGAGATCGGTATCGATACATGTTTCAAGTATCAGTATCTTGATATAAATCCCTCATGTATTAGTCTGTCTCAGTATCATTGTGACAGTATCAGATGGTATCGCCGTCTGTATATATCACTGTACTGAAACTTTGATACCGAACGCATGCAACGTGTATGTTGAAGTTTATTATGTATCGCGCTACTAAAATATAAAGGGCCCCATTCACGTTGAGATCGGTATCAATGCATGTTTCGTGACAGGCAGCGCTACATGTAACTGGGATTTTTATCCATGTTTTCACTGCTCCTACACGTTGAGATGAGCTCAGGAAACATCAGCTCAGTCACAAGTTCAGTTCAATTCACATTTGAAAACAAAATGGTTCCGCCTCCCAAAACTCACGATCTTCCAAGTTGGAAACAATACTGTTTATATTTTAGTAGCGCGATACATAAGTTCTGTTCCAACCGACATGAGAACCGTTCTAGAACGATAATTTCCAGTTGCCCACGTATTTTTCAATAAGTTTAACGTTTATCCTAATTGACAAATGAATTGATCGACTGGAAATTACCGTTCTAGAACAGTTCTCATGTCGGTTGAAACAGAGCTTTAATAAGCTTCAACATACACGTTGAAACAAGTCTCAGTTGCATGCGCTCGGTATCGAAGTTTCAGTACAGTGATACAGACAGCGATACCATCTGATACCGATACAGCGATACTGAGACAGACAAATACACATTGAGATTTGTATCAAGATACTGATACTTGAAACAAGTATCGATACCGATCTCAACGTGAATGGGGCCCTTTAAGGTACATGTTTCGCGACAGGCAGCGCTACATGTACCTGAGATTTGTATCCGTGTTTCAACTGCTCCTACACGTTGAGATGAGCTCGGGAAACATCAGTTCAGTCACAAGTTCAGCTCAATCAATATCGATATAAGATATAATTTATGTAAATTCAAAAATTCCTCCCGAAAGTCACGATCTTCCATGTTGGAAAGAACACTGTTTTTATTTTAGTAGCGCGATACATAATAAACTTCAACATACACGTTGAAACAAGTATCGGTTGCATGCGTTCGGTATCAAAGTTCCAGTACCTACAGTGATACAAACGGCGATACCATCTGATACCGATACAGCGATACTGAGACCCACAGTGATATTTGTGTCAAGATACTGGTACTTGAAACATATATGGGGCCCTAGTATCTGCCTGTCGCGAAACATGTATCGATACCGATTGGTATCGATACATGTTTCAAGTATCAGCATCTTGATACAAATCTCACTGTGTATTTGTCTGTCTCAGTATTGCTGTATCGGTATCAGATGGTATCGCTGTCTGTATCACTGTTCTGAAAATTCGATAGGTACCGAACTGCAACTGATACTTGTTTCAACGTGTATGTTGAAGTTTATTATGGGTTTGTTCCACAGATGTTTGTTCCAACACGTCATAAATTGTCCCATGAACGGTTTCGAAACCACTATGTACACGAATTTCGGGTTCTACGCACACATTTTTGGCTTTGCGCAGAATCGTGGCGGCACATTGTACGGTTTCTTGGTGTGCTGGAACAGAGCTGTATCGCGCTACTAAAATATAAACACTATTGTTTCTCATGGAAGATCGTGAGTTTTGGGAGGAATTTTTGAATTTATATAAATTATATCCATGTTTATGGAACTCAAAATGCAAAGAAATGACAGTTTTGGTTAACAATAAGTGCAAGGAAAAATATGCTAATAATAATCGTAGCTTTGTTACAAAAAAATTCATAGCTTTTGATGTGTCTTTCGACGAGAAGTTAAAAAAGTTGTTTCGTCCTTAAAAAGTGGAAATTGCATTTTGTTTTCAAATCTGGATTGAACTGAACTTGTGACTGAACTGATGTTCCCTGAGCTCATCTCAACGTGTAGGAGCAGTTGAAACATGGATACAAATCTCAGATACTTGTAGCGCTGCCTGTCGCGAAACTTGAATGGGGCCCTTTAGGATTAAGCGAGCTTAAATTAGCCTAATGTTTTCCATAAATCGTTTCGGAGCGAATGGTATGATTTTCCATGTGGATTCCTATGTACCGATATCGATGTAATTTATTTCGATTCCCATATAATTTCCATAGAGAATAGAGAGATTTGAAATCTCTATTTTGACGTTGAAACTAGAAACATCCAAATTTTCCTGTTTAAAAATCGCTTGTCCATGAGTTTTCATTAATTACATTGATCGTTGAGTAAGTAAACTGAATGCCTTAAAATAGCAATTTAGCTCCTCAATTCTAATTCTAAGCCCGTAGCCCTATAAAACTATTTCGTTCGCCCTTGTTTTTGAGAAAAAAATGCCTTTCTCTTTACCACATACATAAACATAATTGATCAAATTAAATTAATGAAGCAAATAAGTCAAAGGACTCGCCCCCAAAACTTGCCAGTTACTAATTACTTTGCCTAATTATTAGCCAACTATATTTTTTAATGACTTGGGTTCTCTGCCAAAATGGGTACTCTTTAGACAATATTAATTTTCTCACAGCATCATATTAAATCGTTCACACGAACTAAAGATTAGAGGGAAAAAAATTACATTAGCCAATTTCAGTTGGCATATGGTTCAGGGTCGATTTTATAAATACCAACTTCTGATCTTCATTTTTTAATGTCTGAAATTATTACAGGATATCCTTCGTTCGAATAATAATTATCACCCGTTTATTAATAAAACAAATTTGACAAATTTCACGTGCCCATTAAACTGAAAGGCCCATAAAACCGGTACTCATCATCATCAGGCGCCATAGCCTCGGGTCATATAAGCGTGAAGCATCTTTTGTACCGAATTAAGATGATGTTTGATTTATAACTGTTGGTTTGGTCAGGAAAAAAATCTAACTAAAAGGAAGCTCATTCATACCAATTAATTTATCCTTGGAGTTGGAGAAAAAAACATTATTAGGATTTTTCTCTTCGGCAACTACAGTTTGTTACAAGATGCTGATTCAACTTAAGAGAAAGAGTGCGAGGAAACTTTTTAGAATGACATGGGATTTCTCCTATATGTGAGGGAAATATTTGCAGTATCTACTTTGATGATTCAGGTGCCGTTGAACTGTACCTAATGTAAAACATTATTTGCACTGTAAGGTATTCACACAAGTGCATTTATAAACGTTACCAAACTATAAGAAGTCACTGAATAAATAATTAACAAGCAGTTACTTTCGCTATTTACCCAAAAGCAAAAACTGGACAAAAAAATTGTTTATTGCACTCTTGAGAGTACCTACCAACATCATAGATCTTGCAGTTGCATAACGAGGTCAAATAGTGCAGAATTATAGTGTCTTCCTTCTAAAAACAAACAGCATTTTTGCAGCCGATTGCACACAACACGAAATCGGATTAATTCTCTTGGGTAACTATCGGATCGGATCGTTTTTTTGTGTGAATTTATGTTTAGGTTGGGTTGGCCGGATTGCCGTATTTGGTGTAACTTTGCGTGAGGTGTGGGAAGTACCTATCTAATATTTTATATGTTGATCTTTGATCTTTTTGCTACTCTCAACATCTTGCCTTGTCATTATTGATATTAAATTAATTGCAAACAAATCACAATAAAATTCAGTAAGCAGATTCTATCGGAATTCTTACATCTTCATTTAGTAGGTAGTTTCAATGGGTTAAGGCTGAGTCACAATGAACGGAAGCCAAAATGGATACTTTCTATCAAAGATAGGCGTTTCCTAACGTAATTCTTCTGGTGTTGTGTTGTTAATTCGCAACTGTTATATAAAAATGCAAATCGTGAAATTTTCCCACTAATAAATTTTTAAAGAATTTTCAATAAACCACTCAAGCTTTTATCCAATAAATTGTGTTAACCTATTGCTCCCATTAGAGCATACAAGAAGCCATTACACAACGATCGTATATAAATCAGTAGATAATACACAGGGAAATCTTCTGGGTATCTTTTGATAAGTACGTAAATATTTACATATTGCATGCATACGTGAGCAAAAATTCAAGATGATTGAAAAATTACAAGTGGTTACATTACACTTCCTCAAGCAGGCGGTTTTATATTGTTCTGATGATGATATAAGGATGAAGAAATGCAGCATAATAATTCTCATCGATGTTTGAAATGCAAAAAAGTAGGATGCAAGCCCAATCTTTATTTTAAATCTTGAATATTCATTAGGACAGATCACGTATTGTGTTTTTTTTTTTCCCATAAATCACAAGCCAAACTTCAATCATTGTACCTACTACCTAGGGCTGAAAATTTTTTCAACAAGGTATCAAAAATAGAAAATAAGCCAACATATAACTTTATAGTGCACAGTAGAAGCTTATTTAATATTTGTCATTGATAAATCTGCACTCAACATTGAAAGTTTATTTTTGTTTTCCTTCTTCTAGCAATGTACTAACTGTACGAATACCAAAAACATTATTTTATTTGAAATATGCCTATATTATCGCTATGCAATTATTCATTTCCTGAATTCCTGCACGTGTCTTAAACTAAGATAATCCTGCGATATTAATTGAAAATGTATTAGGAAGATAAATATTCTTGGTTAATGGGATTTCTGTAAGCCGATAGTAAATTAAAATAGCTGTTTTATTAACATCATTTGCGATAATCGTAAATTATTAGCAATAGTAAAGCATGCTTAGAATGAAATATTAGATATTCGACAAGACGTGATGAATCTCTGCAGATCTACCCAACAAGAATACCTCATTAACCGTATTTTTTTGCAAATTACATAAGTGCACCACACACATTACGTAACTGCATTGTAAAGGTCGATGTTCACATTGACCTTGTCCATGATGTGGGAGGGTGACTTTACAAGTCACCAATCTTGGTTGCTAAAGATATAAATTCTTTGGATTCGCGTTATAATTATAATATCTCGTTTGCATATACCTAGTAGGATTTGCACAAAATTTATTCTACACCTTTACCTACCTACTTGAAAATGTTTTTTTTTCTTTAATTCTCACCCATTTTTTTTTAATTGACGGAAATGCAATCCTACGTTTTAACATAATCAATGATTTGAGATACTTCCCCGCATTTTTATTGAGAGAGCATCCTGAATTCCAAATTATGTAGAAAAACAAAATCCATTTAACAACAATAATTTTTTTTACCATTCAAAATCCTTCGATCTACCATTTGGCGTAATAACAATCATTATAATATTATACAAAGTGAAAGGAAACAGGATCATCCGCCTATAATTGGTACAAAACTACCTATAAAATCTCGCATTCATATACACTACAATAAAGTACAACCTTCCTGAAAGACAAAATTAGATGTTCGCATGCGATCCTTGAATTAAAAACAACAAGAGAAATTAATAAATTCCAGAAGAGATTTTTTGTTTTGTTTATTATTTCAGGTCCCAGCAGTGTTTTGTTGCCTGATAGCCACAGCTTACGCTGCAATTCAAGCAGGTGAAAACGCTTATCTTCCTCCAAAAGATGGTTACAACTACCCACGTCCAAATGTTCCATTTCCGAGTGGTCCAAACCTACCTCCGCCTCGTCCTCCTAGACCTGTAACCGTTCCCACGCGTCCTCCTCAAGCTACAGTCCCGCCACCATTCAGTCCATCTCCTAGTCCTTATAGACCTCCTTCGGGACCTCCCGCAGTACCTTTCAAACCTACAACGCCACCATTTAGGCCTACAAGCCCACCGTATAGACCTAGTTCACCACCAGCAAGACCACAAGGTATGTAGATGTAGAATATAAATATGTATTGAAACAGCATTCATGCATTATTAGGATTGAAGGTCTTGTCAGTTCATTTAAATATCCATTCCAAATCAAAAATTCATCAGTATTTTTTAATTTGTATATTCCTATTGTGTCGCTTCTTGGGCTCGCCTGTAATAACCTTTTATTTGTTTAATATGTAAGGTTGACATCACTGATTTTATTGAGGGATGGGAAATTTCACACTAACTATACGCCTATTCCAAGTCACTAATTATAACTGTACATTTTTACTTTTACCACATAGTAGCTATGAAGTTCTTTTGAGGTCATGACCTGTAGAGCCTCAATTTTTTTTCAAAAAAGCTTTTGTATCGTCATTCCTCATTGGTTGGCTTCTTGGCATTTAATCAAAACTTGTCGACTTTAATGTCTCTCCAGCACTTTCTTTGAATATCAACAGATCACTTCTATAATCATGTCTTCAATTATTAATTTATACCTTCTTCGATATTTTTAATCTCATATTTTAGCCCATCGTCGATCCAGTCAAATCATGATCAAATTAGAGACAAGCTGAAATTTGGTAGGTATAGAGGTTTATATTGGGGTCCAAGCTCCACCGGTAAACAATTTCTAATTTCATACAATAATTTGTATGAGTTAATTGAATTAATATTATACGTACGTATTAAATATATCAAAATAATTATTTTAAATATCCGTGGAACTTCCGCTCTTAATTAGGTTTAGGTTAGGTTTTAGGTTTCTTGTGAGTGGTCCGATGTCGGCACTTCCTCTGCGACCTACGGTCTATTGTGGCTCACTCCGAGTTTATATTTTCCTTTATCAATCCAGCCCTTCTTATGAAGGTGGAGACACTTGGCACTTTGTGCTATTCCGATCCTGTGCATGTGATAAAGGAGTCTGCAGTGTGCAGTGTACAGACCCACCAGGGCTTTGAGGCTCTTCCTCCCCATTCCCAGAAGTATGTCTGCCATTTTCCCCCCTTTTCGACAGGGTACAAAGGATTTTGCATGGTTCATGCCTGGTAGTCCCGAGCAATATTGTTTGGCCTCTGTATTGGCCCAGGTCGAGATTGTGAGGTTTGCTCTCAATTACTTCTTATCTGTATGTTTAGAGATGTCATCCGCCTGTATATCCTCAACTGTTTTGTTAAAACAGGTAACACCATTACAATGTTCACATGCCAAGGTACACTTTAGGGTCTTTTTAAGATATGAGCATGCATTTTTGCAACCACCTGATGAACAGTTACAAAATAATTATTTATATTACTAGTACGGTATGAGCTTCATTACAGTAACGAGTGGGGAATATTGCCACGACGAGGTCGTAGACCGAGTCGTAGTAACCACACGAGTGTTGTAATGAGCCTTACCGTACGTGTGATATACATCATTTTATCTACGACCTGCACAATAAGTGACTATTATTGTCGTTTGTCTAATATAAAAACCTGGTTGAATTTTTCGAGAAGGGTTGGATTTAGGTCAAAAATAAACGGCAATGAAGAAGGAAATGTGTATTTGCCTATCTTCTTCAACGCCGTTTATTTTTGACCTAAATCCAACCTTTCTAAAAAAAAAACAATCGGAATATCTACTGAGGTCACTAACTAAAGCAAAAAAAAAATATAAATAACTATTGTGTACTCGATTGTGAAGTTATAAAAAAATTATGACCTCTTACCGCACTAGTGCGATAATGAACGCGTTATGATTCATTACCGCACTTGTACGGTAATAGGACTCATTACATAACGCAAATGAGCAAAAATGAGTGACATAATAGTCACTTATTGTGCAGGTCGTAGATAAAATTTGTTTAAGGATTCATCAGGCTATATCTTGATCTGCCTGGACTGGAGAGATTCCGGAATCACTAGAAACCCATCCCCATTGCTGGAGTAGTAAGATACTAGATACTATTCAACCATGCTTGCACCTAGAAGTAATGTAATAGTCTGAGAGCCAATGAATTTTTTTCCCTAAAAAGTTGCCGAATGCCGATAGACAATTTTTTCTTCTTGCCTAAACGATGTATGGTTATTATGCCCCGTGATTGAATACAATAGTCTGGCAGCATGTAGTGGGGAAGTTTGGCGTAGGCATAATTAATTAGTCATTAAAACATTCATGAAATGGTCAATTTTTGCGGCATATCATTCAAAAATGTGCCATTAACAAGGCTGTAATAATGCTAGACGGTTTCACGGGTTTGAAGCCTTGCCAGACGACCCCAAAATGCAAAAAAAAAATCAAATCGAACCTAGTGCCAGATTACGCCGTTTTCCTCTGTTAAACAGGCCAAATAGGGTATCACATCCGGAAAAAGCGTCCACGACAAGAACAACATCTTTTAAGGTCCCAACTTATCATGCACCCTAAAGATTTTTAGATATACATATTTAATATAAAAATCCATTAGCTCATGGCTAGAGACAATTTTTACAAAATATCCAGTTATTAAAAATATCATAACTCCACCACTCCGTCACTCGCGAAGCACAATATAACTGCTAAACGTTTTTTTATAGGAAATTTTATGCTCTTCAATTTTTCTGCCTTCATATTTTGTCGTAAATAGTTTTGTTTTTGAGATATCGTCAAAAAACTAAAAAAGTAGGATTTTCACCCCTTTTAGAGTTTGTTCAGGGGTGACAGGCACGGCCGATTACCGGTGGGGTTTGGTGGTTTATTTAGGACCCCAATACAAACTCATATACCAAATTTGAGCATGTCTCTAATTTCTTCATGATTTCCTATTGTAACGGGCGTCCGCCAGTGTGTCGAGAATCCAATTTATTTTCTAGATTGTTACGATGCGGTCGAGAAGGAGAGTTATCGCGTTTATTCTAGATTATACATAAATAGATTTACAGGTACCTATATAAAGGCCGGCATTAGTTAGAAGTTTTTAAGTTTGAGTTTGGCTGTTATACGATTTAGTTAGTGAGTATTGTTGAGAGTTGTAAAGAGTTTAGTTGTTGAGTTAATTATTAAAGTAATTAGTGCCAGAACGTATAGTTACGTAGAATAAATTATTACTGTGTTAATTGGACTTTGATTTTGGAATAAACGATCCCAAGATTTTTGTCACGCGATTCGAGGACTACAAAGTGAAATCCGATTTCAGAATAGTGGGGAGTCTAGTGTAGTGTGAACATTGTGAACACTAAGTGAACACTGGGACAGTTAGTCAGTGCAAAAAGTGACAATCTCAAAAAGAGACTTAACCGATCATGTCAATTACCCCGGAAGTGACTGTATACCCGATTTTGACTGTGATAGTGAATTTCTGAGTAAGTTCTAGAAAACTCTATGTGGAAACCAAGGGAGGTATCGAATTTATGACTTCGCCGACGTATTCGATGCATCAATCGTCATTCAGAAAAAGAATTTCGAGGAGTTTTGAGAAACTTATAGAACATTCTATTCGAGAATAAAGCAAGTTATCCAATTTGTGACTTCACTGGCGTGTTTGGAACTTCAATCAAAGACCAGGAAAGATATTTGAAGAAAATCTGAGGGAACTTCTAGAACATTCTGTATATGCCTATTACGAGAGACATCAAGCAAAAATGGAAGAACAAAAAGTTGAGGAACTTCTGCGCAAAAGGTTGAAACTTCAAGAAATCAAAGGCCAATAAGAAAAACAAGACGAAGAGGCCAGACGACAAAAAGAAAAACAAGAACAAGAAGCTAAACGACAACAAGAGGAACAAGACGAAGAGGCCAGACGACAAAAAAAAAAAACAAGAAGAAGAAGACAGGTAACAAAAATAAAAACAAGAACAAGAAGCCAGAGGGCTGGAACTCTGTAAAGGATAGACATCGTGATCCCTATCGCTACGGCACTTGCTGTCTTCTTTTCTCTTGTCGAAATCCGTAGAGAGGAGACGTCAATAGAGATAGAGAAAATATCTCTATTCGTTACAGAGTCCCAGCCCAAGTGACAAAAGGAAAAACAAGGAGAAGAAGCTAGACGATAACAAGAACGGACATTGGAAAACTGCAGAAAATATTACATACAAGGATCTGTCGTTAACCTGGAACAAAAGATTAAGGAAGTTAAAGCCAAAGTGAAAGAAGATATTTAAGAAGTTAAAGACGATGTTCAAGAAGTTAAAAACGATGTTCAACAATTAAGGCAAGAAGTTGAGAATCAAGTTCAAGCACTTGAAGATAAGGTGGATAAATTAGAAATAAAGTCCATCAATCCAGTTAGTGTTAGGGCATTCTCTAGTATGAAGATAAAACCACCAACTTTTGACGGTTCTACGTCCTGGAACATGTATAACCGACAATTTGAAGCTGCTGCAAATACCAACGGATGAAATGACCAAGAAAAAGCTACAGCACTGATAGTGGCGCTGCGAGGACCTACCTTAGACCTTCTTCAGTCCATTCCTTCAATCTACCAACATCTAAGTCAAACCTTAGAATTGCGCTTCGGAGACCATCACAGACAAGAAGTATTTAGAACTCAAATTAAATCAAGAATTCAAAAACCTGGCGAGAGTTTACAAGAATTCGAATCGGAAGTTAAAAGGCTAGTGAGTTTGGCGTTTCCTGCAGCTGGGGAAGACATCTAGGAATGGATGGCAGTATCTGCGTTCATTGAAGGAAAACCTAAGAATGTCTAAGTTCAGACAAAGTAGCGAAGCCCTTGTCCGAGCATTGGAACTGGAATCAATCTTTGGTGCATCACGACCCAGAATACGAGCAGTGTCCATTGAAGATCCAAAAGATAAGCAATCGACAACAGAGGATGGTAGTTTCGAGAATGTTATGAGTAATTTCATCGAGAAAATGACTCCAGATAAACACCAGCACCGAGAAACCGATTGAAATGTTACCGGGGCCATAAGCTTGGACATATCCAACGAGATTGTAGAGTAAGAATGTCCTCTCCATCTAGGGATCGTTTCCAACGCTTTTCGAGATCTAGAAACGCTAGCCCTAATAGCAGACAGGGAAACGAGAAATACTGGTTAGATAAGCGACATTTTGAAAAATCGAAATTGGATACAGACACCTTGATGCAGACTTTGGGGAAATCATGGAAACACCTCGATCCAGATAGACTTCAGGAAGCCATAGATTTCATCTTGAAAGAAGCAGACATATTTGTGATGGATAATCAAACCGGACGGACCAGCTTAATTCAACACGAAATTGATACTGGATTGGCACACCCAATTAGACAACCACCACGACGTATGCCAGTAGCTAGCTAAACAACAAGAAGTGGAGAACCAAATTGATAAAATGCTTGAAGAGGGAATTATTGAAGAGTCCATGTTCTGCGCCAGTAGTATTGGTTATAAAGAAAGATGGAAGTCTTAGATTTTGTGTGGACTACCGTAAGCTTAATGACGTCACCAAGAAGGACAGCTTCCCTCTTCCGAGGATAGATGATACATTAATAACTCTATAGGGCTCCAAATGGTTTTCCACCTTGGACCTGAAAAGTGGATACACGAAGATGACAAAAAGAAAACTACCTTCAGTACCGGAAGCGTTCTACCAGTTTAACTTAATGCCTTTCGGATTGTGTAATGCTCCAGCTACGCTTGAGCGACTGATGCATCTTGTTTTGCGAGGCCTTACATGGAGAACTTTCCTGGTATATTTAGATGATGTCATGATCATGGGAAATTCGTTCCAAGAACATTTCATTGACCTGAAAGAAGTTTTCGACCGCTTCCGGAATGCCAACTTGAAACACAACCCAAACAAGTGTTTTCTATTTCAAAAAAAAGTTGAATTCTTAGGTTACGTGGTATCTGACGATGGCATACGCGTTATGGAAGAAAAAAATAGATGCTGTCAGGGATTGGCTGAAACCACGCGACAAACATGAACTAAGGAGTTTTCTAGAATTATATTCTTATTATCGAAGATTTGTGGAAGGATTCGCCAATATAGCTGCTCCGCTTCATCGATTACCAGAAGAAAAATCAACATTCAATTGGACCCAAGAATGCGATTCCGCATTTAGAAAATTAAAAGGAGCATTATGTACAAGCCATAGAGGTACAAGCCGAGTGTTGTCCTATCCCGATCAGAAGGGCATGTTGATTTTGGATACAGATGCAAGCAACACCAGTGTTGGAGCGGTACTTCCACAAATTCAAAATTCACAAGAGCACGTCGTAGAGTATTACAGTAGGACCTTATCAAAGCCCGAACGGATCACGCAGCTCTAAAATGGCTTTTAGAAATGAAAACTCTCGAAGGACAGCTTGCTAGATGGATTGAGAAGTTGCAGCAATACGATTTCCAAATTAAACATCGACCTGGAAACCTGCATAAAAATGCTGTCGCTCTATCTAGACGGCCATGCAAAGAAGACTGCAAGCATTGTCAGAGAATCGACATGCATGAGAAAAACACTGGCCCGGCTGCGAGAAGAACAGGTCTGATCGTTGATGATAAATGGACTACCAAACAGTGAGAACAGATCAAGAAGCAGATCAGGACATCGGGCAATTTCTCCATCTTAAGGAAAATGATGAATGTAGGCCAGAATGGAGATAAGTGTCGAAAAAGAGCTTGATTTAGTTAGTGATTATTGTTGAGAGTTGTAAAGAGTTTACTTGTTGAGTTAATTATAATTAGTGTCAGAGTGTATAGTTACGTGGAATAAATTATTGCTGTGTTAATTGGACTTTGATTTTGGAATAAACGAACCTAAGATTTCTGCCACCCAACCCAAAGCCGTGACACTATATAGGGCATCAGATCGACCCTGGGCTATGTGTATTTCTTCTCGTCGTTTATTGATAACTTTATAGACTTGTGTTTTAGTTGTAGTTTCATTTTATTTCCTTCATTTCTGCTATTTGACAGTACAAGAAATACTATAACTTTTGTTACCTATTGTCATTTGTGCCTGAAAATATGCTAATGAGGCAGTCAAAACTACCTCTCTTCAACTCCTCCTGTGAATGTTTTACCCTTTTTGGCCTTTTTGCATTGAAAGATCGTCCGTCTTCCACTCCTCCTAGCAAGTGAATACCTGTTTCTTTGCTCCATTGTTAGAACAAGTCGCAATTCGATGTTTTTGCTTATACTCTTTTATTTCTCATAAAAATTCCTATATTTTTCCAGGAACTTCTGCACCAGGCTACCTCCCACCCCAGCAGCCCCCATCCTATCGTCCGCCAGCAACTTCTCCCACTTTCAGACCCCAGCCACAACCTCCAAGGCCGATTCCAACACAACCAAGGCCTATTCCAACTCAACCAAGACCCACTTCGCCACCGTTCAGGCCTGCGCCTAGCTATGGACCACCTACAACAGGACCAAGGCAACCGACTGGCCCAGAAGGCAAACCTTTCCAAACTTTCGGAGAAGTAACTCTTTTAAAATAAAAAATGACTTTTTACGTAGATTTAATATTTCAGAATGACCATCTTCTTGTTCCACACAGTCCAGGCAACCCCTTCGATTTCAAATACGAAGTGAAAGACGAATTCGGCAACGATTATTCTCATAACGCTATCAACGATGGTGATACGACTAATGGAGAGTACCGAGTACAACTTCCAGATGGCAGGACGCAAGTTGTTAAGTATACAGCGAATTGGGCTAGTGGGTTCCATGCAAAGGTTTGTAACTTATTAAGGTTATATGTCATAAAGTAATTTATAATTTTTCCAGATATCCTACGAAGGTCAGCCTACATTCAAGCCTTCTGGTGGTGGATTTCCAACTCAACGACCTAGTAATATCCCAACAAGTCCTACCAGAGGGCAGCAATATACGCCAGATGGAGGGTATAAGTACTAATTAGGATTAGATGAATATAGTACATTGTTTCGATTTAAATTAATGCACAAGTTGAAAAAGCAGCCGGTTTTGTAAATAATACTTAATTAAATTGTTTTTTTTGAATGACTAGTGCCAAAACTGTATTGTTCTTTTACTAAAAATGTTATGTTTGCAGATACAGGAGAATATATACCTATTATATTGCATATGGGTATTGAGCACGCATCTCGTTTATTTTTAAAACCTTAATTAGATCAATTAGGGATGTAATTTATTATATTTTGTAATAATTATTTTTGATATTGTGAAAATAAAGATATTTTTGTAATAATGTATGACCAACTGAACAATCCAAATGATAAGGACTGAAGTCCATTTGCTCTTATTAGGAGTCCAGATCTGGGCAGGGCTTGAGTGCTTTGTGCTTGTGAAAGTGCTTGAAGCACTTTGAGGACTTGAAAGCTCTGTGCTCCAAGCCCTTTTATGTATTTGTAATTGGGACTTGCAAAGACAATTACTTTGGAAAAGTGCTTGGTAATTTGTAATTGAAAAAAAGTAATTCAAGCCCTTACCTCAATTACTTTTAGAGGGCTTCAATTACTTTTAGAGGGCTTGAAGCACTTTGAAAGGGCTTGAAACACTTTAAAAGCACCTTTTTTCACTCATGTGATTATCGCACTCGCCTTCGGCTCGTGCGCCCAAATTCACATTCGTGAAAAAAGGTTCACTTTACACACTTGTTGCATAAATAACTATTTTGTAAGTTTATTACTTTATTATTGTTGCCTTTAATGTTGATAGTCTGGCGACTGGCATTAAAAAAAAAAAGAAGATTTCTGTCGAATAGTGTCGAAAATGATAATAGCAATTATTAATCTAGAGGGCACGACTTTCGTTTTTTGAAGTCCCGGTTTAGTAGCCACATTTTCCGTTGGCTATTTGAAAAGAAGCTCTGCTTGATCATCTTTGTCCTTTTCTTAGTCCCTTTTTAATCTTGCCGTTGCCCTGAACGGTCGACTCTGGCCTAGGGGGCAGCCATCTTACTCAAGTGAAATAATATCGATTACCGTTTTCGTGGAAAAAGAATCTCATCGGCCGTCAGGCATTATTTTGGCGAAATAAAGTTGCGTAAGGCAATAATCCATTGATTACCGAAAAAATTTAAATAAAAAGTCTCGTGATTACCGTTTTATTTGAGTTTGAATTTCGAACCCCCTCGTGGTAAGTCCTTTCTATTTTTTTTTGTTTAAGTAATGGTCGTTCATGGAATGCATCTATTACTTAGGGTTTTACGGGGGAGCTGTTTTTTTTACCAGGGAGCCGTTTTTTTTACCGGGTAGCTGTTTTTTACTGGAGAGCCATTTTTTCGGGGAGCTATTTTTCTCAAGAAATCTATTTGCAACAAGCCGTTAAGATCGCCGTTTCCGTGGAGCGTGGGCATAGAGCTCTCGAGTCGCTCACGTGTCGATACCTGTACCTCCACATTTGACGAAGAAAACTGAACTTCTAGCCTTGATTCTAGGCTAGAATCTGCAACTTCCATGTGCAACTTCTCTCGTCCAGTGACCAAAAATCGATGGCTACCAACTACCGTACTCTACCTTTTTGTTGGAATTGAGGCTTGTATAGAGCTTCAATTATAACTTTTTTACCTTTTTTTTATAAAATCTATTTTATGATCAATTACCATAATTGATTATTTTTCCTTACATACTCATTTAAAATCTCTCATTCTTGACACATTTTTTATTTACCGTATTTATTATAGATTTATCTTTGCTTTACTTTTGGTACCGCCATGTTTAAGAGAAACTGTATCTTTTATTAATCATAACCATTAATCTGAACTGAGGACCAGGGTTGGACAATATGTTCTAAATTTTAAATTATTGGGTAAGTACCTATAACGCCAAAAATTCAGTCATATTACTTATAAACCTGAGGATTTCAGTTATATCTCCTTTATTCCTTCAACGTTTAATCTTTGATTTCATACAATGATTTTACTGATTTTATTGTCTGGTAGTAGCTGACCATATTTATCTATATATATTATATATAGATAAATATTATATCATTAATTTTTTTTTTTTAAATTAGTTTTCTGGAAACTTAAATCTATTATATTTTCATCTTATGATAATGATATGGCCAGCGACTGTTAATGAATTTATATGGCAAGTATGTTGAGGTACCTACATTGTATTTTTTTTTTTTTAATTTCAGTGGCGCCCTTGCCTTTCTGTACTTATCATACTATCAACCCACCCCTGATAATTATTATTCGCTGAGCAAACCGAGCATTTTATGGGCCTCTTGTTAATTTATTAACAAAAAGGGTTACAATGAGGGGTTACAATGAGTTAAAATGATTAAAAGTTTCGTTTTTGTTTGAGTTTTTTCTGCTATCTTTTATGTATCGTCTGTTCAAAAATCAAGTATGTACCAAAATATTTATTAGAAAAAATCATACCTAGGAATCAGGTACATAATAGAAATATTAGATACAATACTTTGACTATGTCGCAAAACTCAACATCTCTATTTTGTCGAAGCTATTCATTTCCATGTATGTATCCTTATATAATCAGTTAACACCCTATTTGCATTGTTCATTTCAACAGTTTCGAAAAGTATACAAACATCTGTTTTTGGAAGAGCAATTACTTGTGTAAGTTTTATTCATAATGTCATGTCTGAATTTCTTATAATCTATAATTTGTATTAGGTATTTATAAGTATTTCTTGTGTAATATAGGGTTAAGAGTAGCTCTAGCTAATCTTCGTCCTTTGGGCAAATGTAATCTTCTTACATTTGTAAATAGACACTTTATCATTATTATTATAATTATTATTATTATTATTATGTTGTTTTTCGCAGAGATACATAGATACAAAACAATAGCAGTGGCACTGATAGTGGTGTCCTTACTAAAGTGCCCTAGGTTTTCGGAAATAGATAATCAATTCAGTTAGTTGTTTACAGCTCTTGCACCCACACGACATTGCGAAGTTTGATAATGTATTCTATCAAGTACTCTAGAAAATAAAAAAAAATAGTAACATGGATTATTCACGATCACCCTCGCTTGGAGTTAATTATCCATCTTAGTCCAATTTTTCCATTTTGCCAGTCCCTTGTAATCGTTTACTTTCAAATTGCAATAAACCGTTTCGCCACCAGCCAATATTGATCCCCATTCACCGAACGTTCCATAATCAATAATTGTATGGTTGCAAGCTGCCATGACAGCCATATCTTCGGCCGGAGAGTTCAGCTTCTCCGTTCCATATGAAGTCACGTAGACATTTTCCCGATTGCCAAATTCCTGATAACACCAAGTGGGATCGTCGCTGATGAATATGAAAAGACAATTAGGGAATTTGTTTTCATAGTATTTCATTGCTTTGACGTAAAACTGGCGAGATGCCGCTGAATCACCGTAGATTCTAGAAAAATGAAACGTTGAATCAAAAATATTTCCGATCTTGTGATATAGTTATTTATGTATCAAGGGAATTATGGTGGTACATAGATAATTTTATTTCCTACTGAATTTACTGTATTTTGTCCATTTTTATAAAGAAATAAACCATAAACCAAAATTTCTATTTTTTGTCAAAGTTTCACCTATTCAAGGTAAAAGCGGGAAATCCTTAACTCCCTTGGGAGTTATGATATCCTTAACTCCCGCGCGGGAGTTATGAAATCCTTAACTCCCTTGGGAGTTAAGACCCTGTTTATGATTATCGTAACCAACGTATTATATGGTTATAATAGTTCAGTAGGAAATAAAATCATTTTAAAGATTCCATAGTGAAATGTACAGTTGTGAGCACGAAAAGTGGGACACCCGTTGTTTCCTATTGTAAAACGGGCTCACCAGCTATACCTACGGCAATGACAGGGATTGTGATAGTTGACAAAAAACCGATTGTAGAGAAAAGACTGCAAAATAGCAAAAAAAATTACAAGACCTGTCAGTCGGGTGTCTCACTCATGACTGTACCTATCATCGCTAACATGACAAACAACTGATTAAATTATCACAAAGAGTTGTTTCTTAGGTCTAAGATTAATCTTTACCTTGCTATATATCCTATATAATCAGTCCTACGTACATGAACAGCAATGAAAGTATAAGATTTTGCTGGTAAATTTCTAACGAAGCCCGTCAATATCTTCTGAGCATTCTCTGTAAGCTTCTTATTGAATCTGAACTCTGGCAGTATATCGTCAAGCCACCGTAAAAGCAACGTAGGATTACGATAAAACTTTGGTATAATTATTATGCTCTGGAATTATTATAGAAAATAAGGAAAAAAAAATCCGATTTATTTGAAATTTGTACCTTATTGGTAAAACTCCAATATAAATTAGACTTATTTACGTACTGCTCCTCAAACTTCACAGGACAATGTGAGATACCTTCGAAATCCGGTATTGTTAATTGGTCGAACATCAGGGCCATTTGATCTTTTACACATTTTGGTAAATAGGGCTTCAGTTTCCCAGTTCGGGCGTAGGCCCAAACTGTGACATATGCCCACATTTGGTTACCTGGAACAATATGATTACCTACCTATTATGATTTAAAGTGTACAAATAGAGACGTCTAATTGCGGTCGATATATTGGTTATAAGACAACTACATTCATCTACCAAGAGTACAAAGTAACAATTTTATAAAGTATTTGATTTAAAATTCAAGTTGGTCGAATATTTTGATTCGTTTGGGTTACCTAGTCTACCTCCTTCCATTACAGTAATAATTCCTTGGTCTGGGCACTGTTTTCTGTTCCAGAGATTTCGAGTCTGGATGTCGTTTTTGCATAGACTCTGTTCGAAATCTGCGTAGGTTCGTTGTGGTGGAGCAGCCCTATAGAGGGGAAATATCTTGAAAATTATGCAAGCTATGAGCACCGCACCAATAACGTATTGCACTTTGCGATTTTTGATGAGCATATCCTCAATTCTGATCGGATAATGGTAATGTTTAGTCATAGTTGAAAATATATATGTAGCTTTTACAGGGTACGAATTCTTTTTAGAATTCATCGTTTTGTGCTGTCAAGAATATGTTTTATGTTTATGCGTGCTTAAATATATAAGTGCTGATAAGTTTTTTTTTTTTGTTTCATTTAAGTAGGTATTTATGTTTGGTAACAACGTAGTGCCTATCTTTCTACCTACTTGGTTTTGAAGATAACCAGTTAGTTTGCTAATCAACTAAACTAAAAGTGTCGGATATTGTTTTGAATCATTCTAAACAAAAACAAAATAGCGGGTGGTCAGTCAATAGTTTAGAAACTTACTATTCGCTTCAGTTTGTGAAGGATTTTTGATGAATGATTGTTTTTATAATGGAGTAGGTATTTGTAAGTTTCTTAGATATCAAGCATTCGTGATGATGGTTTTAATTAGTCAAAATGGCCAGTAATATAAACTAACCAAATATTTAGATGAGATTATGCTGTAGCTGCTTTATATCAAATCTCAAAAACATAGAGTTTCGTACCACTATACGAAGAATTAGACAATAGAAATATATGCGAAAATGTTCAAAAAAACAGTAAAATAGCAATAGGTAAATAATAGGAACCTGAAATTTACCAATAGTAGATGAGAAAGAAGGCCTAGAAGGGGAATGCAAACGTAAAACTTAACAATATTCGTTCGAGTATTCTTTATTATAAAAAAATTATAAAATCTTCTAATAATAATACCTATACCTATGTCCTCAATTATTCATCATAATCCAACCTGGTAGACTTGAGCGAGTATTTACTGTTAAATTGCAATAAACCTTTTCCCCACCAGCCAATAATGCTCCCCATTCACCAAACGTTCCATAATCGATGATGGAATGGTGGCAAGCTGCCATAATAGCCATGTCTTCGGCAGGGGTGTTTAGCTTTTCCGTTCCATATGAAGTCACGTAGACGTTTTTTTGATTGCCAAATTCCTGGTGGCACCAAGTAGGATCGTCGCTGATAAATATGAATAGGCAGTTAGGGTATTTGTTTTCGTAATAGTTCATCGCATTGGCGTAAAATTGGCGGGATGCGACTGAATGGCCGTACTTTCTAAAAAAACAGAATGTTTAATTTATAAAACAACCACGGTGATCGAATGGCAAAGTTCTCTTCATGAATATATAAGGATAAATCTTTACCTTTCCATGTATTCTAGATAATCGGTCTTTCGTACATGGACACCGATAAAAGTATAAAATTTTGCCGGTAAATTTCTAACAAAGCCTGTCATTATCTTCTTAGCATTCTCTATTAGATTTTGATTAAATCGGAACTCTTGGAGGACCTCCTGACTCCACCGTAAAAGTAACTTGCTATTACGGTTATACCTTGGTAATATTATTAAGCTCTAAAAATTATTATCGAATACCTAGGTATATGTATTTCTTCAAATTTTTACCTTATTTGTATAAGTCCAATCTTCACCAAAAGCTACATACTTCTTATCGAGGTTTATAGGACAATTCTCTATCTCTTCAAAGTCTGGTATTGACAATTGGTCAAACATTTGGGCCATTTGACTTCTTACACATTTTGGTAAGTAGGGCTTAAGTCCTGTAACTCGGGCGTATGCCCAAATTGTAACATAAGTCCACATTTGGTTACCTGAAACAATAGGAACATAAGTTTGAACCACCCCATATTTCCCTAATAAGAAGATAACATTCGTTATGGTTTATCCTATCAGTCAACTCCTCCAAAATTTACTATTTGGAACCTACACCGAGAATTTCAAACGCGTTTTCATTTACACAAAAATTGGAATTCGCTTGCTTACCTAATCTACCTCCTTCCATGACAGTAATAATTCCTCCCTGAGGGCACTGTTTCATGTACCGGGCATTTGAAATTTGGTTGTGGTTTCTGCATAGACCCTTCTCCAAATCTGCGTAGGTACTTCGTGGTGGTTGAAGTAATGGAGCCTCAGCCTCATAGAGGGGAAATATCATGAAAACTACACAACCCATGAACAATATACAAATTACACAAAGCAGCTTGCGATTTTTGCTGAGCATATTCTGGATTTTGATCGAGTAATGCCAATGATGTATCATTAGCCGAAAAATGTCGGTAAAACTGAATTATATAGGAATTTTCTAGATGCCAGACATGACAATAATAATAATACTTTGATTGTATGAAAAATTGAACAAGCATTTTATTATCGGTAAATGACCGTTAATTGTTCCACAAATTTAACTCTAAACGAAATAAATAAAAGATTTACTTAATTCGTACGTAAATACAATATTTTAAAATACAAATACGTATAGGTACTCAGGTATAATACTATTTGCCTAATCAGACCATGAAATATATAATGTACAGGGTGCTCCAGAAGAATACCTTTGTGGTACCTGATTGTGTGTACATTTTATTTCAAACTCAGGTTCGTCCATCGCAAGTAGAACACCAAAAAAGAATATTTCCATATTTTTAGTTCACTTTCATATAGTGTCAATTATTCATCTCAGTCCAATTTTCCCAAGCTGCCAGTCCCTTGAAAGCATTTACTGTTAAATTGCAATAAACGGTTTCCCCGCCTGCCAATATTGCTCCCCATTCACCGAACGTTCCATAATCGATGATGGAATGGTTGCAAGCTGCCATAAGAGTCATATCTAGGGCCGGGGAGTTAATTTTTTTCTCTTTGAATGAAGTCACGTAGACATTTTCCAATTTGCCGAATTCCTGGTAGCACCAAGCGGGATCATCGCTGATGAATATGAATAGGCAGTTAGGGTATTTGTCTTCGTAGTAGTTCATAGCCTTGATGTAAAATTGGCGGGATGCTGCTGAATCACCAAACTTACTAAAAAAGGAAGAATCTTAATTTCTAAAAATGTGCTAATTTTTTTTAAGGAATGTAGGAAAAAGATGCTATTTAGGATATAGGTGCCTACTGGAAACGTTGGTTCAATAAATTCATATTCAAGACTCTACTAGTAGAAACACCGATACTAATTTCTGTGAAAATGCATTCGATTCGGTATTTTCTGATAGGAAAAGAATTGTCAAATATTAGCTCCTGTGATAGCTTTAGTAACAAACAAAATCGATCTATCTGAGAATAGTTTTAAGTTCTTTTCATTAGACCAACATTACATATTTTTATTAGATTGTTTAAATTATAAGAATTTTTTTTTCACCTTCCAATGTATGTTATGTAATCAGTCCTTCGTACATGAACACCAATAAAAGTATAATTTTTGGCTGGAAAATTTCTAACAAAACCTCTCAATATTCTCTGAGCATTTCTTATTAGATTCCTATTGAATTTGAATTCCTGGATTACGTCTTCGAGGCACGATAAAATTAGCGCAGGCTTCCGACTATATTTTGGTAGAATAGTTATGCTCTAAAATTAAAACCAAAAATTTTAAAATGCTTAAATATTTTTCAAATATACCTGATTGGAAAAATCCCAGGGTCCTCTATCGTTTACATGCTCGATATACTTTTGATTAAAGTTTACAGAACAATGCCCTATATCTTCAAAGTCAGGTACTGATAAGTTTTCAAATATTTGGGCCATTTGCCATTTTATGCATTTTGGTAAGTAGGGCTTTAGTCCTGTAAGTCGGGCGAATGCCCATACTGACACATAGGACCACATTTTATTACCTGAGAACATTATATGGAAATTAAAAAGAAAGAAATTCATTATAATTGCTTGTTTACCTAGTCTACCTCCTCCATCCATGACAGTGATTATTCCTTGCCGCGGACACTGCCCTATGTTCCAGACATCATGAACTGTGATGTTGTTCTTACAAAGAGTCGGTTCAAGTTCTGCATAAGTACGTGGTATAGCTCCTGATGAAGTCTGATAGAGAAGAAACACAAACATATGCACCAAGGAGATGAAGCAAATGATAAGCAATGCACTTTTTAAGCGATTTGCGTCAAGCATATTTCTTAGCAGCCGAAAATACAACTGAACACAAACAAATTTTTTTGGGATTAATTTTTTTAAATCCAATTCTGTTTTTTTATCAAATTTTATTTTTATTTACGTCTGGATAGATAACCAATATATAATCCGGGTGAATTTATTTGAAGTCACCTGACGTCATCCATTATGATACACACCCATTCTCCTTGATGATAAAGTGGTATAGTCAGTGTAATGACCTGGGAAAAATAGACCCGTAATGTACAATGTCTTAAAAATACAAAAACAGTAAAATTAAATGTAATCAAATAATCAAAAATCGAATATCCAATAATTCACATCAGTATCAATAAAAATTGAAAAATAATGAAACAAATTACGTTGACCCAAATTATTTAAAATATTTAAAACATGTTCAAATTTCAATACCCAGTAATCCATCGTGTGTCATCACATTGAACTCGTGAATCAAATCTATAAAAATATCAAAATCAAGTTTGGGCCCCAAAGTGACAGAATTATAATAAAATCATGATTTACGGCCGGCACGAGTGCGGCTTTTCTTTGAATTAGGTGTCCTTCGCATTCTTTCAAATCCGTTGACCCCGATAATCCAGGACATTGCGACATATGCGGCTTTAGACAAATAATTATATTTCTTAGAAAAGAGGAAAGTTAATGATTGGGCATGACCGGAAACTTTTGGGGGGATCGAAAAATATAAAATCAGCAGTTTTGGAATTTTGGAATCAGTTCTGATCAGTTCAGTACAGTTGAGCTTAGAGTCTTGAGTCTACAGTAAGATTAATGAGTCAGTCCGGATAAAATTCGCAAAGCGTTTCTTTTATTTTGTCGCCTCGAGAAAACGCGCTAAATCGAATCTTTTGAAAGTAAAGGAAAATCGTGAAAGAAAGAAAATCTAAATTCATTCAACATTATGTGCGAAGTCTAAAAAATCAAAAGAATTATTTTAGAATAGTTTAGTGGAATTAGGGACATTTAAATTGTCAGTACATTAAGAACTGTTTGAGACACACTTTATCAATGATTAAATGAATATGAAGTAAGGAGTGAACTTTTGAATATTGATCTTTTGTTTTGTGTAGTATAAATAGGGAATTTCAATGACTATTAAATCAATGAGCTCTGTCTAATGGAGAGAATTAAATTAATGAACATTGAAATAATGATTATAAATTGGATATTTTAAACTCTATCTGAAAATAATTTAAATTAAATGCGTAATATTAAATTGATATAGTATTGTTATATCTTAGTGTAGATCGCAATGACGTGCCTGACGGGCCCGCCAGGGCCCGCGGTGCGGGAGGGCCCCGGGATATTTGGGGCCCCAAAATTAAACAAGGTGTTCTTCTCGCACAAAATATTTTTCCACTTATGTCAGTTCGAGTGTCAGTTAAAGAATATCTTCAAAAAAATCTAAGATTTCTCAATTTTTGCAACCATCGGATGCATTGGAAATGATAGTGATAATTTAGCGTAAAATCCTAAAATATAACTTTATATAGAATCGTTTAATTTTTACTCCACTCCAGACTCTAACGCACCATAATTTTGCTCACACCGGCAACACTGGCCGTGTTGTGTGATGACTGTGCCAGTGCCCACAGCGTGCCGCCGATGTAGGACATAGAGCGCGTAGGGTGCCGGCTCTATTATGCGGCATTTGCAACGGGTGGCGCGCGTCGAGTAAGTGCAATAATAGGTCTGTTCCAACACGTCAAAAAACCGTCCCATGAACAGTTTCGAGTCCACTCAGCATTAGAATATCCAAGATGCTGCCAAACCTAAATAAAAATGTCCGCCAAGAGGCACACAAACCCTTTGTTTGCTTGTCAAAGTCACGTGTTTTGGATAGGCGACTATCCAAGGTGCTGTCAGACTTAAATTAAAATGTCCGCCAGGAGGCAAACAAACCTTTGTTTGCTTTTCAAAGTCACAGGTTTTGGATAGGCTAATACGAATTTCGGATTTTACGCACAAATTTCACGTATTGCGCAGAATCGTAACGGTACATTGTACGGTTTCCTGCTGTGTTGGAACAAACCTTATATGAGTTCACGAAATTATCCCAGTAGAGCTGAGAAGCGGAAAATATTAGAAAAAAAGGAAAATTATATTATTTGTTTACTTTTATTTTTACCGAAACTGTTCTGGGCCCCCAAGGAAAATCTCGCGGGAGGGCCCCCAAGAAACTCGGCACGCCCCTGGTAAATCGTAAAGAATTGATTAACATGTTTAATGTTTTGTAATAATATTCACTTTGGCTGAGTTTACGAGTATGAGTAAAGCTTTGTACAAAATTTGGCAGTAAGCGAAATCAGGAGTTTTTATACCTACGCTTATAGAATTGGACGTTTGAATAATTATGGAATTTTCATGAAAAATAAATATGGCTTATTTTGTTTTTATGGTGCACATTTTTCTGTAAAATATTGAATATGAGCAGTTTTGCATTAAATTTATCGATATTATAGTCATACGGCAATTATTAGTTTTAAATTGAAAGGTTTCGCGCGAAAAAGCTTCGTTTAACATGGCCGCTTCCGGTGACGTCAACTGTTCGTAAACTAATTAAAGGGTAGTTTACACTGGTCGTGAATAACAAACGTGGTCCACGCTTTTATGGTTCACTTTTGAGTCGTGTCGTGAAGTGTAAAATATTGAATATGAGCAGTTTTGCATTAAATTTATCGATATTATAGTCATACGGCAATTATTAGTTTTAAATTGAAAGGTTTCGCGCGAAAAAGCTTCGTTTAACATGGCCGCTTCCGGTGACGTCAACTGTTCGTAAACTAATTAAAGGGTAGTTTACACTGGTCGTGAATAACAAACGTGGTCCACGCTTTTATGGTTCACTTTTGAGTCGTGTCGTGAAGAACGATTCGTCCACCATATCAAAGAATGTTTATGCCAAATTTGAGCCGATTCTGATGTAAGGTTTTTTTTTTTGTCACTTCCAAAGTGCAAAACGGATTTGAAAAAATCAATGACATGGAAAAATCAATACAGAACTGACAGATTTCAATGTCATTAACTTCTATGATTAACGTGCCCCTAAACTTAAAATCTGCTCATATAATGGATGGTTCCATTAGTACCTATCAGTCTTGTTTCATGCCAGGGTGCCGAAATTCATCCATAAAAACGAAAGAAAAAATATTTATTATTGTGCCGCGAGATGAGAGAAGGAAATTGTGGCTACAAGCTGCAAGTAGAGATCCACATGGAGTTTCACCGTCAACAGTGCTTTTTTGTTGCGAAGACCACTTTGATGTACGTACATACGTACGAATTTATATCTGGCACGTTAACCGTTGTCTTTTGTTGAATGTATTTTTCGTTATTATAATTTCAGCTTCCCAATGATATGGGGAACTGGGTAAGATTTAATTTGATGGGGAGAAAAACACTTAAAATCATGAAAAAAAATGTAGTCCCACATCGTTTTGTCGGCCAGGAGGATCGAAAAAGACCACTTGCACCGCTACCCCCAAGGACAGCAGTGTCGAAGCGGCGACAACTTGAAATAATAGAACAAATGGAGGAGGATAAGGCTAATGAATATGAAGTACCGGCATTGGTATCTGATACAACAGATAGAAGTAATACTTTGTTGGAAGTGCAGCATATGGAGGAGAAAGCTCATGCATGGCATTCTAGGACCAAATTACTAGTAAATGCTGGAGTTCAAGTAAACAAAAAATCGCGTTTCCGGAGTAAAACAATTCAAGTTCATCCTTCTTGCACCAGTAGGTCTACCTCTCCCATCGTAGTTTATTCTCCGTTTTGCAAACTCCCAGCACTTGAACCCTCTATAACCACTAGCCCTAATTCACCGTTTAAGCCGTCACCAAATCCATCTCGTGTTCGGAAGTTATTGCCATTAGCAAAGAGCGAATCAACTTCCAGCACTGAGTCGACAGTCAGCTATGAACCAGCAAGCTCTTCAGTTTCGTGGTCAAGTGGAGTAGACAGCGTCCTTAGGATGTCACTGAAAGAAGGTTCTGCGACAAGAACTGCTCAGATACTTTATAATAGATCTTTTAAGTAATGATTCAGGTATTCCAGTAAATGACATACTCTTAGTTTCAAAAAAAGTTAGACTTAATAACACTTTGGAAGAGCTTGCTGACGATTTTGGGATCAACAGTATGTAGAATATTTAATAAAAGTGTACCCATTATCGCGCAACATTTGTCCACATTTATAACTTGGCCGGAACCGAAAAGTATAAAACGAAATCTGCCTATTGCATTTAGGTATCGATTCAACAATGTACAGTCCATAATTGATGCTTTTGAAATCGAGATCGAAAAACCGTCAGATCCTATTAAACAAGCCCTGTCCTGGTCGGAATACAAACACGCAAACACAATAAAGTACCTACCTCATATCCTCAACTCCAGACGGTGTTATCAACTATATTTCCCCCGGCTTTTCGGGTAGAATATCCGATACACTTTTAGTTGAAACATGTGGTTATTTGCAAGTCCTACCTCATGGAGCAGCAGTTATGGCCGATCGAGGCTTCAAGCACATGGAGCCATTGCTGAGGGCCCGATCATGTACATTAATAAGACCACCGAGTGTTGAAGCTGTGAAGAAGCCTTCGAAAACCGAAGTGTTAGCCACAAAACGCGTAGCAAGTCTGAGGATTCATATCGAAAGAATTATACGAAGAGTTCGGGAATTTAAATTTTTAAGGCCCTATTCCTGCATCAATAACAAGTTAATTCCTTTGACTGATTATTTAGTAAGAATTTCTGCGGGACTTATCAACTTACAAGGCCCGTTAATAAAACATTAAAAAGCTTTTACTAAAACGAAGATTTCAGAGTTGTAAAGTATAGGGACAATAAATAAACCACACCAATAACGCTGATTTATTTATTAATTTTACATTTTTACGCTATACAATAGTTTTGTAAATATGCGTTGCTTCCAAAAACTCTCGAGATGAGAAATTAATTTATTCGTATCATCGGCATCAAAATTCACCCTAATAATAGTGATCTTTTTTGTTGTCTCAAAGGCGGGGTCAGCAACACAAAACACTCCTTTACTTTTCCCGGTTACAAGCATTTGTAGCTGAACCTGCGCGTTACATTGGGGTGAAAGCTCATTCCACTTATGTACCATCAGCCGTTTTACACCGACTCACGGCGTGTGCCTTGGAGGATAACCAAATCGCATTTCGTACCAAAATTCGCTTTTACACTGCGTCCTAGTAGCACTTTCCACTTCTTTTAGTATTACGTCTGTCATTCGTTGTTTACAAAAGTCTACAAATAATTCGCAATCTGAGCCCCCCATCTCTGCAAAGCCGTACAATAACTGATGCAAGGACATTTCTTCAAGAGTCACAGGAGAGTTGCGAGCCCCCTCAATATGTTTTAATAATTGGGAAGATACATTGTGATGTTTAGCTTCTTCAACAAATTTGGCAACAAATTGTGACTTAACATTTTCCACTGCGTCTCTTGGTCTTCCAAAATCCTTAGCCATCATATATTTTAAGTCCGTACCAACTTTGGTCAAAGTAGATTTCCTTCAATAACATGTAACATCTGTGCAGGCAGGTTCTTCACTGCGTCTATGTATCCACATTAAAAAAGCTATCGCATGTTTACATCCACCTATAAAATAATAAGGTAGGTGCGTTGATAAAGAGCAAAATAAAGAATCTATTCGTTTGCGTGTATCACAGCTCCTACATTTTATAAAATTATCAAGATAAATGGAAAATTAAAAAAAAAAAAAACGTATGTACCTGCTACTGAAGCTGCGCAATCTTGGCACTGTACAGGGTGGGCCAATTTGGAAACTTCCTTATGGAAACACCCTTTATTTCAAGAGATAGAAAAAAATGAACCCCCCACTCTGAGGCTCAAATTTCATGAAATTTTGATTGGTGCAATCCGCTTTTTGATATCTTCAACCGTTTAGCCGCTAGAGGGCGATTCTCGATTTTGAGCAATATTGTGAACCCTTCATAACTTTTTTGTTTATGAAAATAATTGACCTTTTGCTTGGACGCCATATTGCGGTGCGCGAACAGAGCTGCCAAAAGAAGAAAACAGAAATTACTAACGGGTTGTCAACATTAAAAACAAAAGTAACTAAATGATTGATCCTCGCTATCCTTTCTGTTTATTTACTTCCCTTTTTGATTCTATAAACAATAAAGCCTATAGTACTCGTAACAGTCGTAACCGCGAAATTCGCTCATTTTTGACATTGCTTCGAAAATGTGACGTTTGATTCACGCACAAAACGTCAAATTGTCGAAGCAATGTCAAAAAAAAGCGAATTTCGCGGTTATGAGTACGAGGCTTGAGAAAGGAAACCGAAATTTGGTAAAGTGAATAGGTAGATATTTTATTATTTCCATTCTGTACAATACAAGTTAAAATTGATGGCTTTTCTTTTCAAAAACATTCGTAATAGGCGGCAAATTTAAATTTTAAATGTAATTTATTCAGTAACTTTTGTTTTTAATGTTGACAGTACTCTAGTGTTTTTTTTTCTACTTTTGGCAACTATGTTCGCGCACCGCAATATGGCGTCCAAACAAAAGGTCAATTGATTTCCGTAAAAACTTTCTGGAAGCACTTTTTAAAACAGAATTCAGGGACGTTCTCAGTTTTTTTCTATTTGGCGCCGATTTTGAGATATTGACTAAAGTCTGATTTTTTTCAATGGGACACCCTTTATATTAATAGCTCATTGAAGAGCTATGATTTTTCTGATTTTAATGATATAAAGTTCGATGATAGGTTTATCTCTAACCGTTTTCGAGAAAAAAAATTATTCTGGTTTTTGTCATAAGAAACAATGTATTAGAAAGAGACCTTTTTCATTTTCCTTACAGATATAAAGTCCTTTTCTAACACATTGCTTCTTATGAGAAAAACCGAAATTATTTTTTTTCTCGAAAACGGTTAGAGATACCCCTATCGAACTTTATATCATTAAAATCAGAAAAATCATAGCTTTGCAATGAGCTATTAATATAAAGGGTGTCCCATTGAAAAAAATCAGACTTTGGTTAATATCTCAAAATCGGCGCCAAATAGAAAAAAACCGAGAACGTCCCTGAATTCTGTTTTAAAAAGTGCTTCCAGAAAGTTTTCACAGAAATCAATTATTTTCATAAACAAAAAAGTTATGAAGGGTTCACAATATTGCTCAAAATCGAGAATCGCCCTCTAGCGGCTAAACGGTTGAAGATATCAAAAAGCGGTTTGCACCAATCAAAATTTCATGAAATTTGAGCCTCAGAGTGGGGGGTTCATTTTTTTCTATCTCTAAAAATAAAGGGTGTTTCCATAACGAAGTGTCCAAATTGGCCCACCCTGTACGCATTTTTCCGTTTCCTATAGTGCTAGCGCAACCGAGTGCGCTAATCCTGTAGGAAACGGATGCATGACCTGTATTCCGTTTCCTAAGTGGTGAACGCACCTTATGCGAGTCTTCAAGCCACCAGCTGATTAATACGGTAATCTGTTTGTTTATTGTGGTTAAGTAGTACTTAAGCCTTATCGCAATGGAAGTTATGGAAGGTATCATAGGGCAGTTTGATGATGAATGCCAAATCCTGAAATGCGATGACAAATGAAAGCGAGTACGAGGTACTAGTTAGAACCAAAATGTCTATTGAGGACTGCAATAGCCAATTAGCCAGTGTATCGATCGGATCAATAAATTCTCTGCTGTGACCAAAATACAATGGATTGTGAATCAAACCTATAATAATTTGAAAAGACTCCAATTTAGAAAAGATTTTGTCTGTCAACACAGCTGCAAAAATGAAAAGAGAAAGCAAGACAGCGCGCATGCCAGAAACTTGAGATGTCCTGTTAAATTGATTGTCAAAATGAAGAAATCTAACAAATACACAAAACTTAGAGATCCGCTGTTGAAGGAAAATTTAAATACAATAATTGAGGTAAGATATAAACCAACCGAAGAAGTAAAATATCTATAAACATTATAAAGAGATGTTCATTCATTCATTCATTCATTCATTCAGACGCACATATTTCTTTTTCAGTTACGCAGAGCCATGCTTAATAAATGTGTGAGGTGCGTAAACCACTTAGGGAATGGAATTACAGGCCTTGCATCCGTTTCCTACAGGATTAGCGCACTCGGTTGCGCTAGCACTATAGGAAACGGAAAAATGCACCCTGTACATCCTCCACGACACCTAGGGCCTCATCCACAATCAAAGTCACATTATACTGTTTACGCCTAACTTTATGTTTGGGGCAAATTTTGCATCTTACAACACACTTCGAATTTTCCCTTTTTATCCAATGGCTGTGTCACCATATTGTTCTCTTGAAGCACTGAAATGAATAATTTGCGATTACACTTTTGTGAGGTACATTTATATTCGTTTTCAACTCACCTACTTGCTTTCACGCCCTTGATTTCAGCGGAGGTGAAGCAAGGATTATTTTGAAGGTAGGTAGCCACCGTAAATGGGCCTATAGCAGGCAGATTGTTAGATAGCGCTTTTGAAAATCCTTCATCAACCATTATAAACCAAAACCACAATAAGGCACTAATTATGGAAACACCACGTAATAATCTCTCCCAATGCAGTCGAAAGTACGAGATTGTTTCTGACAGTTTAGAAACTGTCAGTGACTCTTGTGACAACAGACCTTAACGTTGTATTTATAAACAGTTGACGTCACAAGTACCGGCAACTTGAAACTAATCGTTTTCGCGCCAATGAAAATAATTTGAAATTTATATTTTTTTAAAATTTTAATGAGAACATAATACAAAAAACAAACATATACATCTTATGTTTGAAAACATAAGCAATAATAAAAAAAATATAATTTAAAAAATATGATTGTTCCCTATTGTAATGTTTTGACGTGTAGGAGTTTTGGTTAAAAATATTGTAACCTAATGTAGTAGGGCTCTATAAATGAGTTATTTAAAGTATAAGGCTTTTGATTGAAACATTTTATTTACAAGCTCAGAGACAGTATAGAGATAGCTGTAAGTTAGCATCATTTAGAATTGTTTATTTTTGTTTTAAAAAGGCTGTGGATTAGGGAATAAAAAAAATTACCATTGTAATTGGAAAGCTCTGTTTATTTTCTCATTAATAAAGTATATTTATTAATGAATATAACCATACCTATATCCGTTGTTTCTTTCACTTGCAAATAGACCCTCCTCCCACAATTTTATTTTACAGTAGCTGCCCAAGGAAATAATCACCATCACATACAACCGCTCGCAATTCACCATCTAACCCAAATAATAGAGTATCTACTTGGCGCGGATGCTATATCAGCATAAATGTGGATTTTCTATGTTCGGACTGAAGTAAGTTTCCAGCATTATGGAACTGATTAATCAAAGCTAACGTTTCGCATACCTACATTCATCATCACGATTGTGTCGATTGTATACTGTGGAGGTAAATACTGTATATACCAACGTTCAGTAGAAAAGGATCCGACATCTTACAAATGAATAGGGACAGACAAACACCTACAGACATAGACATAAGTTAGTCATATTATTATTTATTATTCCCAACTGAAATTTTGACAAATCAGAAGGTGATTTAAATAAGTTACCAAAGTAGTTGAATTTTCTTCTCTTTGTACAGGGTGTCTCAAAACGACCCAACTATTTCGAGAGTAAGCCAGTCGCAAATAAAGGATGGGAGGGAGTGGAATGAAAACGGCATTGCGTCGTGGCTGATGGTCTTTAAATTTTTAATTTTGATTAGTCGTCAAGTCGTCATATAACCGCAACTAATTTTTTCTTGTCGGGTTATGTTAAGTCTATTGTTTACGAGAATAATCCACGAAACCTGGCAAATTCAAAAAAGAACATTGAAAAAAAGATAAGGCAGATTTTCAGACAATTTCTTGTGAACCTTTTCACAAGTTTCCATGAAAACTTTGAAGAGTGCCACGAAGGAAATGGGCGTCATTTATCAAATGTTATTATCAAGAAATGAAAATTTATTTTTTTGTCTTTAGATTAACAACAATAAATGTTAATTACAATGAACAGATTTGTTTTAAATTCCATTCAAAATAGTTGGGTCGTTTTGAGACAACCTGTATTAAGTTGTTGTCTATTGATGTAAGATAATGATTCTTTATAAAAGTCATGTGGATAGGTAATCTACTTTCCTTTAAATACATATTCAGCACTAATTTTCTTTCAAGTTCCTTGTTACAAGTACCTACCTACCTCAATAATTTAATACATAGGTAGGTATGCTATCAAAATTTTGTGCAAATAAACAATCTTATCTCAATATTTATTTATCTACAAAAAAAGATAAAAAGCAAATTAGTAGATATGTAAATAACAATAACAAAATTAAACTAATATTTTGTTTTTTAGCCTTTTCATCCTTGTTTTTGTAAATATTTGTTTTTGTTTTATGAATTTACTAGGTAAATTATATTTTCGATTCAGAAACCTGTATTTTAAAAAACATTTATTTATTAATTAAAATACAGAGATGACAAGAGAAAATATGTGGATCAAGTTGGTACAGCAAAAGCTCGAGAACAAATCAACGTTCCTCATGGGACTGCGCTGGATTGAATAATAATTTAATGCCGATTTAGCAACTTGATGTTTACTTTACAACAATGTATTTAAAAAATCGGAGGAAAGGGGTAAGCTCATTGAAGCATATAAAAAATGAATAATTGGTTATTAATTAGCGTGGCAATTGGTTAATTTAATTCCTTCCTCCTTAAGATGTTGCAAACGTAGATTGTTGTTTATTCAAATCAGACAATTCAATTTGCATATTTGCACAACTTTTTTCTGAAGTTATAAACTTCCTAAAACAGTAAAAGAATGAA